GGGTGGTGGTTCAATTTTGGTGAGGGCACCCTGTAACCCAAAACGCCTAGGCGCCCAAATCCGCATTTTTGAACATTGGTTTGTGATTCTTTTGACATTGTAGAAAGCATGGTCTGTAAGACTGTTAGCTTATTGCGTTTTTTCCTCTGATATGGTTAGTTTTGTAGCTTTGGTCTCAATTTCATGAAGTGCAAATTGTGTGTTGTAATTCATCTCTGAAGGGTATTCTGATAAATTCCCCTAATATCAATAAAACGCTCTGCAATTATTATTTAATATTTAGCGCATTTGCAACTAATGCATTCATGATCGTGTATATTTTGATGAGTATTTTAAAATTAAATCAAACACTAGAGTATTAAATTGTCCATCTTTGATAGGTATTTTTATAAATTGCCCTTGATATTATCATGTTTGTGCAGCCCAACTCGATCATACTAGCAATATCTCCAGCCAATCAAGACATAGCAACTTCAGATGCTATCAAGCTTGCTAGAGAAGTTGACCCCACAGGTATCCCTGTACATTATGCTGACCGTTTTTTCTTTGGCAATTAAGAAAATAATACGACGTGTTACATGTACGACGGTACAATGGACATAAATATATTGCCCAGAGATGAAGTTCTATATGGCGACTTATGTATTTTGTTCTTTGCGTTTGATAGGCGAGAGGACATTTGGGGTCCTGACAAAGCTTGATCTGATGGACAAGGGGACAAATGCATTGGAAGTGAGTATGCACAATTTCTAAATTGGAGGTTATGCTTCATACTTTAGTTAATTACACATGAGGAAATGTTTTTCCACATGGCATAACCTTTTTTTGGTTAATACTCACTGGTCTGCCTTGCTGCTATTTGTTTTTTTATTTAGTTATGCAGTGTTCTCTTCTTGCCATGATTCGGTCTTGCTAATAACACCACTTTAAGGCTATAGTTGATTTAACAGGCATCTAGCTTTCTGTTTCTCAAAATCTGGGGATCCATACTCCTTTGAAAGAAATTCTGCACAAAATATTTGAATCACAAACTGAAGGTTCCCTTTTCTTTTCCATTTTACCAGGTTCTTGAAGGGAGGTCGTATCGGCTGCAACACCCATGGGTTGGAATTGTTAATAGATCACAAGCGGATATTAATAAGAATGTTGACATGATTGCCGCTCGCCGAAGGGAGAGAGAGTACTTTGCCACGAGTCCTGATTATTCTCATCTGGCTAGTAAAATGGGTTCAGAATATCTTGCTAAACTTCTCTCGAAGGTAATGCATGTATGCTGAATACAAGTTGAATTTTGTGTGCTGTGGTTATTTTTGACATCGAGATGAAGATGGCGTGCTTGTTCTCTAATGTCAGGGTCATCATTTTCATGTTAATCTTATGAATCTGAGGTTTTTTTGTGGTTTCCTTTTATTGCTTTTATTCTTTCAGCATCTGGAGGGAGTTATTAGAGCAAGGATACCGAGTATCACATCCTTGATAAACAAAACCATTGACGAACTTGAATCTGAGATGGATCATCTTGGGAGACCTATTGCTGTCGATGCAGGGGTGAGTTCTCATTATATTATATTCTAATTCGATTGATGAGTGCTTAATTAGCAAAACAATAAACCCTGGCCTTTTTCCTTTTTTATATTCAGGCACAGTTATACACAATCTTGGAGCTTTGTCGTGCTTTTGATCGTATATTCAAAGAGCATCTGGATGGAGGGTAATTGAAACGAAACCTTGGTTTTTACAATTTTCATGTCCTTTTAAAGAAATGCAATGTCTTAGTGTGGCTTTTGTGGAGTATAGGCGACCAGGTGGAGATCGGATCTATGGAGTCTTTGACCATCAACTCCCTGGAGCTCTGAGGAAGCTTCCATTTGATCGCCATCTCTCACTCCAAAATGTGAGGAAGGTGGTATCAGAGGCAGATGGTTATCAGCCCCATTTGATTGCTCCTGAGCAGGGATATAGGCGGCTCATTGAGAGTGCCCTCAATTACTTTAGAGGCCCAGCTGAAGCATCTGTAGATGCAGTAAGTTATCACTTCTCCAAGTTCTCTTCCATCTGTATTTTATTCTTAGTGTGATGAAGGCTATCATTTTAATTAGAAAATTGATGTGCCCATGTTTTGATATGCTTTGTTGTAGGTACACTTCGTCTTGAAGGAGCTTGTTCGAAAGTCAATTGGGGAAACACAGGTATTCTCCAAGTTTATAAGGACTACTGGATTGATAGAATCTTAAGAGTTGCTTTCTGAATTAGAACGTGAAGAATGTCTCTGTTTCTCTCAACTCCCTCTCTCTCTCTCTCTCTCTCTCTCTCTCTCTCTACTACGTACGTACGGTACGGTACGTACGTACTACGTACGTAACGTAACTAAACTAAACGTAACGTAACGTAACGTAAGTAAGTAAGTACGTACGTTACGTTACGGTTACGGTCGGTA